TGCTGGTTGCTGGCTGCTGGTTGCTGGCTGCTGGGTGCTGGCTGCTGGTTGCTGGTTGCTGGGCGCTGGCTGCTGGCTGCTGGTTGCTGGGCGCTGGCTGCTGGCTGCTGGCTGCTGGGTGCTGGGTGCTGGCTGCTGGCTGCTGGTTGCTGCTGCTGCTGCTGCTGCTGGTTGCTGCTGCTGCAGCTGGTTGCTGCTGCTGCTGCTGCTGCTGGTTGCTGCTGCTGGTTGCTGCTGCTGGTTGCTGCTGCTGGTTGCTGCTGCTGGTTGCTGCTGCTGGTTGCTGCTGCTGCTGCTGCTGGTTGCTGCTGCTGCTGCTTGCTGCTGGATACTGCTGCTGCTGGTTGCTGCTGCTGCTGCTGGTTGCTGTTGCTGCTGGTTGCTGCTGCTGGTTGCTGCTGCTGCTGCTGCTGCTGGTTGCTGCTGCTGCTGCTGCTGCTGGTTGCTGCTGCTGCTGCTGCTGCTGCTGGCTGCCGCTGTTGCTGCTGCTGCTGGTTGCTGCTGCTGCTGCTGCTGGTTGCTGCTGCTGCTGCTTGCTGTTGCTGCTGGTTACTGCTGCTGCTGGTTGCTGCTGCTGCTCCTGCTGGTTGCTGCTCCTGCTGATTGCTGCTGCTGTTTGGCTGTTGCTGTTGCTACTTCTTGCTGGTTGCTGCTCCTGCTGTTTGGCTGTTGCTGTTGCTACTTCTTGCTGGTTGCTGCTGTTGCTTGAATCCTGAAGACTGCTGCTGCTGCTTTGCTGTCCCCCCCTCTTTCAACTTCGTCTGCGCAACCCCCCAAAAACTGAACGAAAACCAAGGGTTGTGGAGGCCAAACTTGTGTGAGCTTTGGTGCTTTGCTGCTGCTGCTGCTGGTGCTGCTGCTGCTGCTGCTGGTTGCTGCTGCTGCTGCTGCTGCTGCTGCTGCTGGTTGCTGCTGCTGCTGCTGGTTGCTGCTGCTGCTGCTGGTTGCTGCTGCTGCTGGTTGCTGCTGCTGCTGCTGGTTGCTGCTGCTGCTGCTGCTGGTTGCTGCTGCTGCTGCTTCTGCTGCTGCTGCTGGTTGCTGCTGCTGCTGGTTGCTGCTGGTGGTTGCTGGTTGCTGGTTGCTGGTTGCTGGCTGATGGTTGCTGGTTGCTGGTTGCTGGCTGCTGTTTGACTGTTGCTGTTGCTGCTTCTTGCTGGTTGCTGCTTCTGCTGGGTGCTGCTGCTGCTTGGCTGTTGCTGTTGCTACTTGTTGCTGGTTGCTGCTGTTGCTTGCATCCTGAAGACTGCTGCTACTGCTTTGCTGTCCCCCCCCCTTTCAACTTCGTCTGCGCAACCCCCCAAAAACTGAACGAAAGCCAAGGGTTGTGGAGGCCAAACTTGTGTGAGCTTTGGTGCTTTGCTGCTGCTGCTGCTGCTGCTGCTGTTGCTGTCGTTGCTGCTGCCACTGGTGCCCCTGTTGCTGCTTTCTGCTTTGCTGTGCTGGTGCTGCTGCTGCTGCTGCTGCTGGTTGCTGCTGCTGCTGCTGGTTGCTGCTGGTTGCTGCTGCTGGTTGCTGCTGAAAATCTCCGCGGCGCAGGGTGGAGTCGAATGGGGGCCCGACATTTAAAACCAACTCTTAAACCACCGAACTCAGGGACAGGAGCCTGCGACCAGCCCCAATACATTGCTAAAGCAAGGCAACTCAGGTAGCGTAACCGCTACCTTTCGTGATTAGTAGCTTCTTGTTGCAAATGGTAAGGCCAGGGGATGCTCCTAGTAGCAATGCCTTTGTTCCTAGTACTGTAGCTTTGAGATCTGCATCAAAACCTGAGGCCGAGGGTTGGTGACGAAAGCCAGCAGGGCGGGGGTGAAGCGGGGGATATCCGATCGAGAAAGGTAAGAAAATATAAGACACTCCCAAACTGACCAAGTCTGCCAAGTCTTCCAAATTCGACGGGCGAAGTGCTTTGTGTGGGGGATGTGGGAGGGGATTTTGCCACAGAACTCTTGAACCCAAGATGCTGGGTCCAATTTCCATGTCTGCTGTTCAAAAAAGATCGGTGCGTCTTGTTCGCCACAGGAACAGTCAGCCCCTTGCCAGCGGAAATGCACCCGTCCTAGAGACGTCCCAGGGAGGAGTTGAACCCGCGGGGGGTGAGGGGCCCCCCCCCCCTATATATGAAGTTTTGCGGCGCTCTCGAGGATTCCAGCCCCTCACTTGCCAAAGCAAGAAAAACTCCAGCTAGCTGGTGCTAGCTTGTCACTTCTTTCAACTTTCACGCCCACCTTCCACGGTCAACAATACCCGAACAACAATGGACCAGGAAGGAATCGAAGCATATCGAAGCGGCTACCCCACAACAGCTTAAATTTGCTTAAATGATTGACTGCCCAAACGCAGGCGACAAAGAGTTCCGCCACCCCTATCGGAGAGTTCCACCACCCCTATCATCTTTTTATATGATTTTGCTTTAGCGGGAATCTCAGGCAGCCGAGGTTACCATAGGCTACCTACCTTTCGTGATCAACTGAAGTAAGTTAGCATCAGAATTCGCAGACTTGTTTCAAAGTCTTCCTGCACATCTATTCCACTGCTTGACAGCACTCGGGTCAATATCGAACCAAGTAGCCGCTCAAGCTCCAACGCTTCCTGAGAGATTCATCGCATGACACCAAACGTATCCTTTCGTCAAATGTTGGGAGTCATCCACGTACTTGGTCCGGCCTGCTGCTCGTTGCGCTCGAAGAGATACTTTCCATGTTTCTCCTGCCAAAGTGGAACTCTTTCAAAATTATTCTAAGAGGTGCAGTGCTGCATGGGAGAGCCATGCTGCGGGCAGCCTCCAATCTTTGGTAAAAGTCCAGCACCCCATCTGGATGCTGCGATTCCTTGGCTGAACAGCACGCCAAGCGAGCTAGCGTCAAATCTGATGAATCCTTCTGCAACTTTGGATCCAGGTGGTCCAAGCGTGTGTCACTTTGAGCAGCCACAACCTCAGGGGTGAATGGAAAGCACTGCTGCAACATGTTCTTGGTCACTATCACTTCGCCAAGAGACTGGGAAACTGTTTTTGAGTCCAGGTAATGGGGCCTTACCTTCAGCCGGCAGGTCCTTGTGCACTTCCTCAACAGCAGCAGAATCTGGGAGAACACTGCTCAATCTAGCACAATTCAGTGTCGTGACTCACGACTCATCTGCAAACACGGCCCAGCTTCTCAACAAGACACTTCAATTATTGGAATGCTTCACAACAGCACCAATCATAGCAAATGCTGTCGTGCCTGACACTTGTCACATCGGACTAGATCTGGAAAGGCCTCTGCTCTTGCTGTGCTCTGCAAGTCAATCTCTAAATTCAGTGTACACATATATTATATATGTACTGTTTTTTGCACGATGAATTGAGTTGCCTCACGGCCTGGGGCCCCAATCAAGGTTAATTTTGAAAGGTCAAATTTTTCGCTGAGCATTATGGGACATAATGCACGGGGAGTACACACGGCCTCTGGCGCCAAGTGGCCAAATGAACCGGGCATCTTTGTGCTCTGTCACCTGCCGGCCAAATGCACACATCAAAAAGCTATGTGGCAATGTGGATGGCTAGTTCACTAAACACCTCGTGATATTAAACGCCCAACTGTACCTTACATTGCATGTCAGTCTTGTGAAATACCGTGATGCAATCCGCAAGGTGCCAAAGAGCAGGATGCAAAATGATTCAAACAGTTTATACAGTTGAAATGGCCTTGCGGTGAACTTGGCTCCTCCTCTGACATTTACGGCACCTTAGAAGTAGTAGTAGTAGTAGTAGTAGTAGTAGTAGTAGTTGTAGTAGTAGTAGCAGGAGTAGTAGTAGTAGTAGTAGCAGGAGTAGTAGTAGTAGTAGTAGTAGTCAAACTTCAAAATAACCAATTACCGCAAGCTGTACCATGGCTCTCTCTCTCTCTCTCTCTCCAGAGTCTGACTGAAGCCCAGCAATACCATGGCTTCCCTTGAGTCTCGTGAAAAGAATCTACAGTACGTGACAAGTGGCTTTTTGGGGAACCCGGCTCTCCACGACTCAAACGACATGCCCTTAAGGCGGGTCTTGAGCCGGCTGCCGGACCGGCAAAGCAGGGCGGACGAGTGCAACTGATCTACCAGTGCTAGTGCACCTAAGCATACCTCGAAGTGGGCGCAAAGGCCCAAAGCTGAAGACCGCTCTGATATTGTCAATGCAGTCCCGTCACACATATTCACTCATCACGAGGGCGAGATAATAGGTGATATCAAACCAAATTTAACCAATGAAAATCAGCTGCACCAGAACTTGGGGGGTGCTCTCAGCTACCCATCGTGTGCACACCGTGCACGATTAGCAGCGAATCCGATGGATGGAATGTCATCGATTTGGCGCGGTCACTTTGCGTCGGAGACGTATGCAAAAATTTGACATGGAGTGCTTGAGAGGGCTTGGCTTGAACCACGTGGCGTGCCGCTGATGAAGCCGAGGGCTGGCGGGCAAAGCATAGCACGCGATTGATGGACATTGCTGCCTTCATTGACTTGTCTTGAGTGTGAGGAGATGAGTCAGCACAAGTTCAGAAGAGTGATCAAAGTCAAATGATGAAGCATGACAAAGCTCTGACTTAAAAATTGCATCTCCAAAAGCTGCCTGTGGTGTTTAGTGACCCAATTTTGGCACAGGAGTAAGAACACCCCAAAGCTCGGAACAACCGTAGCGCAGCGGCGAACATTTTGCGTCAATACATCCCGCCACTGCGCCACGCGGGATTTGATGCTTGATGCTAGTCCAGGTGCATCTGCAGCCTGAGAGATTGAACACAGCTGATGCGCAAGTGTGTTAATTGATTGACGGACTTCATTCGGTCAAATGACTTCACTTCAAAATCACAAGGATGAACCTCTTGAATCAAGGGATCAATTTCCGAAGCCTCGGCGGGACTTTCTGCACTTCTGTCAGCAGAACCTGGCAAAGCCTCAGTGACACGTACAGGACTGTGGATGAGCTCAGCATCATACCGACCAGTTGCACAATACTGACCTTTCCCGAGCCGTGGTCTGTATGTTTATATGAGCCCCGAGCCGCTGCACGTTCTAGGCTTCGGATCCTCTCTGACAGTTGCTCTTTCTCCCTGTGGTATGACTCCTCAAAAGCTTGCTCAAAGCTCTTGACCATAAGCGACCTGTTTTTTAAATCCCGCCCTTACTTAATTAAGTAGGCGCCTAATTAATGAAGGGAGTAAGCTAGTAGCTACCAAAGCTTCTAGTAACTGGATGCGCTCGCAGCCGCTCGCACTAATAATTTGGTTCGTAGATTTTCAGGAAAACTTACTAACCTCATCTAACCTCCAGGTGTTCTTTACTATCTTCCGGTATGCACATGCACCCCGTAGCACCTTGGGCTAATGCAACATGTCATTCTTGGAGAGTGTCGTGCTGTATGATATCTTCGCACTTCCGCAGCGCCGTGTTAATTACGTCCTGCCGGTCCAGCAACTTCTTGAGAAGTGTTAGGACACGCATCACCTGACAATGTTGAGCAAAGAATGGCTACAACGTGACAACGGTGGCAGCATTCAGGAGTTGAAGCACGTACGAAAGTATGTGGCAGAATCCTACGATATCCTACGCTTACTTTCTTGGCATTCTTGTGCTGAATTGGACCTTATACTGAGCCCAACACCACAGTTGTCTCATCTGCATCCATGTCTGAAATACGATCATCAACTTCCAGCTCATCACCAAGCAGCAAAGCACCAAGTACTGCATTCATGTCCTTGGTCAATCTGTCAGCTGCTGGCTGCTGACGCACCATGCATCCGAAAAGAACAATGAGTCGCACTGGCGCATGCTGCCACATGAGTCATGGCCGCTGTGGCCATCTGGCGGCCGACAGCATCCCAGTCCGAGGACGCCACTCGCAAGCGTTGGCTTTGGTCTGCAACACTGCGGCAAGTAGCCTGGTAGTGACCAGGGGTGAAAGGAGATGGCAAATGAGCTGCTTTGAGAACCTGCGGTAGCTCCCTATGTTGTATCAATCTGGCTCCGCTAGTGGTTATGCTATCCTTACGCGAGCCAGATTTTGGCGGAAGAAGAGCTTACGCAAGCTCTTACGAGCACTGAATTTGCAGAGTTTACAGTCACAGCTTATGCGGAAAGGTTCAAGAAGATGAGGACGCATGCGGCATGACGATGCTAATGAAGAAGCGCTTGAAGAGTGAGAAGCATGTTGCGGTTCCCTGCGCTGGCTTTTGCCATCCAGGAAAGGATATTGAGAAGGCACCACGGCTACAATACTAACTCACTTCGGAGGAGCGCGCTTATGTGACCGCTTACACGGAAAAATTGTGTGTTTCTGGACTCATGCCGATTGCAATCTATCATATACCGCTTCGTCTAACTCCCTGAACTACAAAGGAACAACTTACGACTGAATGTCTTTGTTTGTTTTTCCCTTTCTCCACCCTGGACTCCTGGACTTAGAAGGAAAAGAATGGAGCTTACGCAAGTGCTTCAGCATCCAGAGGTTTGATATGACAAGATCTTGACAAAACACATACAGCAAGGCTTTTTGAGTTGCTCAAATGGTCGAGTCGTGGCAGCCGTTTTTGGGGCCTGCAATTTCGTATGGCGACCGCGCAAGAGAGCACCACCTGCTTCGGCGGACCGCATGCTGTCAAGCTTGTCCTGCAAATCTGCACAGTCCTGGCCGGTGTCGGGTCAATCCTTCCCAAATCATGGGTTTCTTGTGGATTCTTTGGACGCTAGTAGGTTGGAGGCCATCGCTCTTAGGTTGGAGGCCATCCCTCTTAGCATGGAGGACATCGCTCTTGGGTTAATAACTCAACCTGGCGTCCCAGCTGAGCACTCCCAAGGCCGCACACCGCACAGAACCAGAAGACGGAAGCTTTTTGCTAAAAATCAAAAAGTGCTTGACTTTTTGGAAAGGACATGAAAGGACCAGTATTTCTTTTGACTTTTTGTACTTTTGAATTTTCATGTTTTCAATCTTTTGGAAAGGCCGCCTACACGCAAACAACGTTTCAACTTTTCAAAAAAAGCCACCTATACAGGTTGGTCTTTGTGTATTTGTCTGTTTCCCGGGGCGTTGTCTGGTATGTGCTCTTCGGCTCCAGGTAGCACAACTTGACTTAACTCATTAGACTAATTAGCAAGTTCGAGATCTGCATACCTGATTCTGCAACATTTCTCATGCGTGCTCATTCTGTTGACAAGCCCCCAATCTAAAATCTGAGCTGCTGATTTAGTCCTGCAACACCACTCCGTGAAGACCTTTCGTTTTCTCCAGTCTGGTCATGTCGCTCCTGCATCAACTTCACTCGATCCGAAAAGGTGATGCGCCTCGCTTCCTCCAAGCTCGCAAGCTCTTTGACATATCCTTCGCTTTGGGATGCCATAGTTTCTCGCATGGCTTTGCCAGCATCCCCCAAATCCACCCTCATCGAGGTCAAGTTGGCTTTCTCCTGGCTCACTTCACGCAAGCGCCGTTGAAGCCCGGCTTCTTTGCGTTCCAAGCGCTCCACCAACTGCCTCTCACTGTCGGCGGCCTGTTGTGTCTTCACGAGCCACTGAAGTGCACGTTCCATCTCTTCCAAATTCTCCAGATCCCCACTACTCCGATTCGCCCCATCGGTCACCCAGGACTCGGCTAACTTTTGCCTCATCTGTGAAGCCTCCAGTTCGGCCGCCTGAAGGTCCATTTGGAGCTCTCGCGCTTGGGCTTCGGCACGTAGAAGCACCTCAGAGTCCACCAATGATTTGGCCTGCTGCTCCACTTCGGTGCCCTTGGCCCTCACAGCATGCAAGTCGTTCTGAAGACCTTGTTCAACCTCAGTGACAAAAAGAACATTGTACCATCAGCAGAACTCCAAATCAGCTAATTCTGAACGTATCTTGAAATGTTTAGATCCTTGGGATGCCTTGTCCAAACCCATCAACTCTTGTCGAAGTTCAGCTTCTTGAGCTTTGCTAGCTTCAAATGCCTGGAGCTGCAAATGCTGTCTCGCAAAGGTTGTGAATCAAATCACATCAGTTGTCCCAAGACCAATGAATGGACGACTATTGACTAATTACTGAATCACAAATATTCAATTACGCATTTGGATTTGCAGCATTCTGCAGCTCTTGCAGATTCAAGCATCTGCAGTGCAAAGCATTGCGCCTGGAGCTGCGCTTGCTGTTCACGTACCAGCGCAAACTTCTTGGGGCCGAAGCTTTCCAATGACGCCTGAAGCGCCTGAAGCGTGATCAGATTTCCAACGACAAAGTGGCACAACCGATGCTCCAGTCCAACCAGTGAATGGAAATGGGAAACAAACGCATGGAAATGCATGGAAATGTAACATGTAGGAACAAAATTCTGTCAACATGTCAGCATTCATCCGGTCAAGTGCGTCTAGCTTCAGTGGGCCAGTTGCAGGCCTCAATTTCGTGCTCCAATGCCACACATGCGGCCACTCGGGGGTCTTGCGCCACCTGCCGGGTGCTTCATCAACGACTCCTGACTTCAGTGCGCCAAGGCAATCACAGAATTGTTCGCGACATGTGTCTCACTGCACCAACTAAGGGTAGCCACAAGTTGCATTTTCGGAGACAAAAGCTAAAGTCAGGCCCAGCCATGGAGAAAAGTTCGGGCATTGAAAACGCATGAAGTCAGTAGTTATGGTTCAATAGAAGTAATGACCAGAAAGAGTCCACAAGTTACACACATGCATAGTGTAAAACACACAGTGGTTACATGGTCAATTCGCATAGTGATCGGACGCCCTCATGTCAATTTGCTTCGTGGTCATGTGAGGAGTGGCTTCTCATTGCCTCTTCGCGAAGGCTGGCACATTCCTCGACAAGTTCCTCCTCACAATAAAGAAGTGTCTGTTTCTTCAGCAGTGCTCGTTCCCCAGATTCAAATTCTCTGAGTGTTTTCGCATGCTCTCGCACATTTGTTCTCATGCTGTCTACAACACAACCATAGCCGCCATAGCCAGCCTAACACGTCCCCTATCTGCCACCATACGTTAGACACACTCAGCACACGTAGCTTCTGACTCTTACGCAAGTGACGTCTACATTGTCTCCCATTTTAAGTTTCCGACGCCTGGCGCTGCTGTAGGGACTGCCGGGCCTGGCGCAACGCCGCCAGCACTCGCTCGGAGCGCAGCAGCTCCTGGTGCTCGGACTCCTGCGCCGTCTAAAGGTTCAACACCCAAGCACAGTGCTTTGTCTAGCCTGTTTTGGGGGAGTTGGGGCACCAAAAGGTTTGGTGTTGGGTAAGGTTTGGCGTTAGGTCGTATTTTTTTAAAAAATATCATTCATAATTCATACACTATGGGTTTCTACATCTTCGCGGCAAATCCCCAGCCAAGGACACTTGCAGCAACTACCTAGCGGCTTTGACAAACTCATATTAAGCCATGCATTTCACGGAGCCGCCCCGCAGTCCCAGGTGTTCCGCACAACATCGAGGTTGTCCATAGCATTGCGCAAAGGTGTTGCAGTTTTTGCAGCTTTGGGGCTTTGAAGTTGACATGTGCAAAAAGTACAGTTTTGGCTGCGCACCATGCAACCAATGACAAACCAGAAAAAGTATAACTCGTGCAGAAATGACGACAGAATGGTTGCTTTCCCAGATTGAATGAGCTACTGTGGCCCCACTTACTTCAAGATTGATCGCAAAAGGACACGTGTGGCTGTGCGCGCTTTGGAGTTTGGGTGCTGGTGCCGGTGCCGCTGCCAAATGTGTGGCCGTGTGCGCTTTGGAGCTTGGGTGCTGGTGCCGCTGCCAAATGTGTGCCCGTGTGCACCTTGGAGCTTTGGAGCTTGGGTGGTTTGGGTGCTGGTGCCGCTGCCAATTGTGTGGCCGTGTGCACTTTGGAGCTTGGGTGCTGGTGCCGCTGCCGAATGTGTGGCCGTGTGCACTTTGGAGCTTGGGTGCGGGTGCCGCTGCCGAATGTGTGGCCGTGTGCGCTTTGGAGCTTGGGTGCTGGTGCGCAGGATGCCGCTGCGAGATGTCTATGGCCGTGTGCCGGTAATTAATGTTTAATGGACATTTTATGACATGTTCATCTACTCCATTCGGAATGCAACTTCTTTGGCCTACAGCCATGTAGTGAAATTGACTGCACCTATAAGTGATGCAATGCGCTTCCGTAGCAGGTGCGATGCCGCGATGTCGCCTTTGGATCCTCTTATTTGATTATAGTTTTTAGATGTTTTTAGTATTTATAAACGGAGCAGCTTACTCTTACGAAGCAAGGACTTTGCCAGTTTGGAAATGCGCAACAAATACCTATGCACTTGTCCGTCAACATCTGCTTGCCTTTGAGCTATCAAATTTGGCTATCCACTTGTGTCAATGTGGTAGCCATATTACAATGCGCAATGTGTCATGCACCTGAAGTTGCAACACAAGCTTGGATGTCAAGTTATTGAATCAATTCATGTATTGATAAATCTGGCCATGCACCTTCACGAGCTACAGTACAATCACACAAGAACCAATCAAATCAATCAACTGGCACCCCAGCAGTTCTTTTACCTCCTGCTTTGCTTCCAGGCAAGCTTCTGTGGCGTTGCCGGTTGGAGAGGTGTCAATGAAGTAAAAGCATCGTGTTTCAAAGGTCCGTGGGTCATTTGCTCATCATCGTGGAGTACAACATTCAGAGGACGCTCTCAGCACTTCAGCGACTAGTTGATGGCGAACAGCTTCGCAGCTCCCACCATATCTAGGATAACCCCACCTCAGCCAGGTTGCGATATGCACAAAAAGTGGGTGGCTTCAAGCAACAGGTGCATGCAATTGTTTTGGTTGTCCGTTCTCCACTTGTTCCATGTTATTTATATAAATGAACCGTCACACAGTTGAATTCTGGCTACCCAGTACATCCATCCACCAGGCCACATGGTCTCCCGAACGGCAAGAAATCACCTAGTTTATGCTAGTTTGTAAGTTGCATTTCCTGTCTCGAACAGGCGCCTTCTATGATAACCTATTACGAACGTAACCTTCTACTGAACCTTCTATAATCATCCTCCTGTCAAGGCAAAGTACGGTACTTGTGGATATTGTTGAGACTTGGCCACCGCACGTCACCAGCGTGCCATCACGCTTCACTGCTGCGAAGGCACACTCTGCCGGGTAGATGCGGACAACTCCTGTATCACAAACAGGCGAAAAATCGCCTACTGAAAGTTGGAAAGCCACTAGAAGCAAACAGTTATATACTAGTAGGGATGGCCACCTAGTAGCTTCTTGATTCTAGTAGCTTTCTAACTTAGGCAGGCAAGTTTTTCCCCTCTCAACTATCCCGGAATCTACTCCTCTACAATCCTCACGTATACGTTTCTCCAATCAGCACTGAGACCTCTGTCATATTGCAGGATACCGCTTTCTGGTGCCAAGCGCGAGGTTTCTAGGTTCTGAAGCCTGCCTGAAGTGAGCTGATCCTCCACGCGGCTGGTGTTTCCACCGTAGACAGGGCTGCCCCAGGCAACGACCTTAGGTGGGCGACCACTAGGGTTCCATGTTGGACGTCACTACCCGGCAACTTCCTGCAGTGTCAAACAGAATGGCTCAGAATGGTGGATGGTTTTCCAAAAAGTGACCTTTTTTGGAACACCCTTTGCCTTTGCTACAATTGTCTACCCAACTCTCAACACCTCCAAACAAATCTTGCCAGTTGCAAACGAACTGGGCTCTATGCAGAGCCATCTTTCCGAATTGCTGCAAAGGCAGCATGGCTTGCATAAATGTCCTGCCGCCAATGAGTCTGCGTCAAGCCCAGAATGGCAATTTGTTGCTCTTGCCACACCACGCCGCTGGAAATGTCGATGAGAACATGTTGCCAAAAGGTGAATCAAACAAATCACATAGAACAAATCAACACAGTGGTCCAAGTAGTAAGCTCATTGGGATGCCAAGATCCCCAAAGGCTTCCACATTCTTCCAGCCTGCACTTCCTGAAGCTGATTCTGCACGCCATCACCTCATGGCATCAAATGCCACGATCAACCGACAGAAATGGCTTGTCAAGTTGGGGTGATGATGCAATACAACATTGGCAGCTACTAGTAGACTGTCGACTGGAAGAGAATCTGTCCACTATGTCCAGTGTTCCTGGCACAAGCTGTCAAAATACTTCGCACGCACAGCAATATGGCAAAGGCACTGCAACCTCCAGCGTTGGGGTCACCCCATGTCACAACCTCACGAGCAAGCAAAATCAATTTGGGACGAGCTGGTGAGAAACATCAAGAATCGTGAGACCACAATCAGGGCCCTGGCAGATCCATCGGCTTTCACTGCCGCGAAGGCAGCGCTTGTAGCAAAAAGCCGGGTCACAGAGTTGTCCAAGTGAGTTTGCACACTTGAACCTCAGAAATGTTGAGGCAGTCAACCGCGAGAATGGAGCTTTCCACTTGAAGCCACATCCAACCGGCTAATGTCGCCGTGCCAAGGCACAGTCACCTCCGGCCAGTTCATTGCCCCAGCTCCTTATTCCACGGCAGCCCGCAGTATTTATATAGTATAATGCCACTCGCAGCGCAGGTGCCAATCAACCAGGTCACAAGTCGTCACTCGGGTGGGTGTGGCGCCCACCACCCAACCACAAGGGACAATCATTCGTCCTGATGGTGTGTCATTTTCAGCTTCGCTCAATCATGCCAAAGCCTCTTTGTGCTTCGACTCTAAGCTGCAAGGCACATCTGTGCTTGACATCTGAAAGGTTGCGGCGATTTCAATCGCCTCGAACCCTTGGGACTGACTCTCAGCCTCTCCGTGATCTTCAACCTGTGTTCGAAAAAGAACAGACCGCTCCGCCCTCTAGCGATGGCCTAACCTAATAGTGGATCCTTACACTTGCATATATCATGCGTATACCAATTTCAATGTGCGTGGCTATATTGCAACCGAAAGCCCTACAGTAGTCAAACCGGAACCCTCTTTCATGCCGCAAACATACACATACCGTCACAACCCGTCACACGCACACACACTTATGGATATGCGTACTGACTTGACAGCGGTGCCACACGCCGGCCTAGGGTACCATTTCCTAAGAGTACAAGTAGGAAACCACTGGAGCCTCGGGGTCCTCAATCGGAGAAGGAACCAAACTCGCAAGTCGAAGTCAAAACGACAGGGTGACGACGTAGCGTGCAAGTCTGCGGAGTGTCAAGCTCAACTCAGCAAAATTAAAATTCAAGCAGGTACAGGTGGATGATCAGTCCACCCCTCCCTCGTCATACCGTAGCTTCGTTGCGCACGGTGGGTATGACGAGCCGTACGCCCCTGCTGAAGTAAAAGAAAACAATCCAAAAGAATCCCTGTGACTACAAGGGGGAACACACACACGGACACACAACCATACCTTTCTCTCTCTCTCTACATATATATATATATATATGTGTGTGTAAACGACATACGGTCAGCTGTCAGAACACAGCATGTCTTCTTGCAAAGTGTTCTGATCGTATATTATATCGATGACATCGACCGCAGTGATGCTGCCCAATGCTGCCATGCCATGCTGTCTCTTGGGCCTGTGGCTCCTCGAAGAGCCTGCTTCGCATGCAAGTCCACGTCCACGGTAGAGGAGCCGACACCCGTTTGAGCATAGCAACTGGCAGCTATCACCTATGGCTGTCAGGTCAGTACAGGCCGCTGCAACCGCAAGGGGGTCTCTCAAGCCGACGCTGGAAGAGTAGACTTAGCATGTACTAGTAACAAGGGCATCGCTACTAGTAACAATGGCGTTACTACTAGTAACAAGAAGCTACTAGCAGCGATGCACTTGTTACTACAGTAGTAGTCTTAGCATGTACTTTTAGCGCTCCTTTCCACTCTTCATTTGGGCGTTTATGGGTTTATCCTATGCTTCCTCTGGAGCATGGGAACACAAGTTCTCGTAAGCCTTCATGGGGTCAAGTAGACATACACGTTTGTATTGCATGTTTTGCCTTATAAGCCAACATAGGAATATAAACTCGTGTCAGTCATGGGTGATGACAGGTCAAATGCCATGTAGTAGAGACTAGTTCCTCGCCATTTCTACTGTAAGTTTGTCATATTCATCCATGCTTGGGAGTGCAACTTTGATCAACTTTGCAGTTCTGCGCGCCAAGGTGCATACAACACACACAGGTGGCCATAGAACACCTCAAAGTCAAAGAATTCAAGGTGACTGGTGAGAGCAATCATGGTATGTCATAGCAGGTCATGTGCTTGATCTTAAATTAAAACTCAGTAGGAGTAGGAGTAGGAGTAGTGGTAGTGGTAGTGGTAGTGGTGGTGGTAGTAGTAGTAGTAGTGGTGGTAGTGGTAGTAGTAGTAGTAGTGGTAGTGGTAGTGGTAGTGGTAGTAGTAGTGGTGGTGGTGGTAGTAGTAGTAGTGGTCGTAGTCGTAGCAGTAGTAGGAGGAGTAGTAGGAGTAGGAGTAGGAGTAGGAGTAGGAGTAGGAGTAGGAGTAGGACTAGTAGTAGTAGTAGTAGTAGTAGTACTAGTAGTAGTAGTAGTAGTAGTAGTGGACTACAATCCGTGCCCTGATTGGTGCTTGCACTGGTGTCCTAGAATCATCTCTCGATTCTCAATCTCTTCCCCTCTGAAAAAAGCTGACAAAGTGTTGCAGCCGCTCGGCTTGGCTCAGGTGTTCTTCATTTCAAAAACAAACACTTGAAGGCAATCCCATCTCCTTCCACAGCTCATCTAACTTCTGAGTCACTGCCACCAGCTGTTCAGGAAGCAAATAAACATTCATACAAAAGTACATATTTAATCTTTCGCCAAAAAAAAAATTACTTTCGCCAACTCGAGAAAAAACTTTCGCCAAATGAGATTTGGATATGTTCCGGGTCATCGTCATACACACTGCTGACTAGGACCTTTAGATCGACAACCACCTGTCGTTCTTAGTCTTTCTTTTTATCATGCATTTATCTTGTCTTGACAGTCTTGTCCAGTCAAGGGCTGGCATGTCGTCCACTGCGGGGCCTCATGATCTGAGCTTACGACCCAAAGGAAGGCATCGCGCTTCAGCAAACGCTCGGTAAAATTTCGAAGCAGCTGTTCCTCAACTGGGCAAACAGATCCGACCGACATCCTTAAAGTAACAGGCATGGCACTGTGCCTATTCCGTGGCGTGTCTGCAAGGCTCCCACTGGCCAACCACCTGTTCAGTTCTTAGTCTTAGACGGATGTCACAAGCGCAGGTTAAGACAACCGCTTATGACACTTTATGACTTTGATTTAACTAAGATCTACCAGTGGAAGTTGCACTAGAAGTCGCTCATTTCATCTTGTTTCTGAATCTTGATGTTGATTCCGCCAGCAACGCGGCCCGTTCGTCCCGTTTCTTTTTCTTTGGCACGTGCTTTTTTTCGTTGCCTCCCAGCACACCGAGAAGGCCAAGGCACCAGGATCTCCCGCAGCACCCCGAGCAAACCAGTGGCGCGCTTCACTGTGGGGCGACGAGGAGTCCGCGCGTTTGCGTGAACAATGGGACGCGCGTTGAGCTTCCTCCTGGGGCACGGATGACTCAAATGAGTGGGGACCCAAAAAGGAAGAAACATGAAAGCCAATGTTCAATGCGATTTGGTTTGGAAAAATCTGCAACTTGATAAAGAGAGCCACAAAGCTCAATCCCCAATGGATTGGCCTCTACTCAAACTGCTCTGCCAGCATTCCAAATCCAGCCCAAGACACTGCAGCGCACTGCACTGAGTTTCCAGGACATGGATGCGAGCCTGTAGTTCCCCAACGTCCTCCCACATTCAGCGTCATCCGGTTCACCATGTTCATTGAGCTATCAACCAAAGATCATTCAGTCAATCATTGAAACGCCACAATTGGTTAACACTACGTTCTTGCCTGTCTAATTACTCATGTGTTCTGGCATCAGGTTGCACGCATGCCTGGAAAGGAACATTTGCATTGTCGAGCATGTTGGAATCTATCAGGGCAGCCCTTTGTCTGGACTGGTGCTCATGTTGAGAAGGCTGCCCTTGATCTACTTGAATCTCCTGTGAGTGCATGTTGTTCGACCTTGAACATGCCGGTTTGTAGATCAGTCATCCTTTTTGGGGATCTCATCTCCGGTTCTGCGCTCATAATCCCAGCCAACCGCCCACAACCATTGGCATTTTTATTGTGGTCTGCTTACGCAAACTGTGCACTTCAACCTCGCACCCCGCGTGCCCAAAATGAATGCACATAACATTTAATCACTCGGAAGAGCCATTAAGCCGCTACCACTACCTGTCCGCTTCTCAGCTCATCAGGCACCCAAAAAGGCAAGCATGCTAGGAATCAAATGGGCAAACATGCCGCTTAAAAACTAGAACATGAAAAGTGCATGCTTCTCAGTAAAATCAACAACCATAAACCCCAAAAATAACTTTCCAAACAACAACCAACCAAAACTCTTTGTCTTAAACTGTTAACCCCTGGGTGTATTGAGTGTGTTCCTGTTGCAGCATCACTGTATGGAGGCTCTCCTCCACGGCGTCGAAGCTACCAGCTGCCAATGCCGAGATTGACACAGGTCCCTCCTGCTCGTCCTTCTGATTTTCCTCCTCCTCGTCCTTCAAGTTCCAACTGATGTTGCGGAGGCTTTAATGCGGGCACCGCCCAAGCTCAACACAATCAACCTCATAAGGTGAATGTTCTCAAAAGCCTCCAGAATATTGCATCATATTGAGAAATTCATGGTGTAGCGGTGGAGTCCTTGTCTTCCAGCTCTGTGGCGGGCTTATCCGCTGGCTGTTGGGGGCTTGGAAGCGAGTCCTGATTGGCCTGGCACATTGTTGAGCAAAGAAAAAAGGCAAGATTATGACATTGCATTTGGGTCTAGGCCAATGACTTCATTCCTTCAATATCTTCAATTCAGCAATGGATGATGATGATGATGATGATGATGATGATGGTTCATCCATCACGGTTAAGCATATAATATATTAAGTAAGTAGCAGCAGCGTGGGTACTCGCGTGGGTCTTTCCGAACGAGCACTCGCTTGCGACGAGTGCTCGTCTCCGTTTCTGTCGCCGCGGCTCTTTCAGTCCAGGCCTTTTCGGTCTCCAACTCGTCAATGCCTCGGCCCAAGCGCAACGAAGTGGAGACCGGTGCCCAACGAAATGGGTCAAATGGAAGGTTACTTTTGGAAACAGCCAACGAGTGCAACAACAGGGTGAGCCGGGTGAGCTCTCAAAAAGGCAAAACTGTTTAAAACGGTCTGGGCCTGGGCTGCCTGATGGCGCCTTTCTTCTTTTCAACTTTGGTTGGTTTTGTCTTTTTTCAAACTTTTTTCCGGGCTGCGTCGTTGAAGCTCACTGACTTGCCGGTCACAGCGGGCCTGCAAGCTGGAAACCTGCCACTCTTTGGTCGAAAGAATCCCGGGTTAAGAGCGTCAATACACATTAATCGACTCCAAGACAAAGCAGCTTCTGTCACTAGAGTGCAGGATTCGCATTCTGAGTTGTAATCATGCTGCTAAACTAGCTGCAGTCTTCAATCATTCTTTTCTTTGGCACCATCATTCCGCCTCTGCCATGTGACAAGCTTCCAGTTTGCACATCTCCTTTCTCGCCACTTCTGCCTGTCAAGGGCATCTATGTTGTTTGTCAGCATGAACACGCTGAATGCTTTCCGGCGCGTCACATCAATGACTAATCTTTATGGTCCGCGTGTCTGCATGTTTCCTCGAGATCAGACAAACAATCTTTCAAGTCATCTGGCAGGTTGGAAACAGCTGAAAAGGTCTGCCCCTCAAAGTCTTGCATTGACACTCTGTGGCAGTGCAAGAACAATCTGTGAGCACTAATTCTCGCCGCTGAGTCTGCACTTCCATACGTGGCATCACCCACCAAAGGGCGTCCCAATTCCGCCAAGTGTGCTCGAATCTGATGCGTTCGGCCAGTGACAGGATGAACTTGAAGTAGCATGAGTTCTACTTGACTCCGCTGATCCCTCCAAGAATCCATCTCAATCCTTTCTGATCTGAATCTTCGGATCACTTCATATTCGGTTCTTGCTGCACGGCCCGTCTCAGAGACCACAGCCAGCAAACCCCCATCCGAGAGCTGCTTTGTTGACAAAGGCATGTTGATATGACCCTTGAAGCCCACTGGGCCTAAGGAAGGACCCTCGCACAAACAAAGGTACTGTTTTGTCACCAGCCGTCCAGCGAAACATGCTCGGTACCAACTTGCAAGTGGAGAATCTGCATGATCCAACACGAGAGGCAGGACTCCAGAAGTCGGCAGGTCCAAACGTGATACCAAGGAAGCCTTGGAAAGGCCGCACAGCTTCAAAGCTTCTTTCGCGTCCTGGCAATGCCGGGGAGAACATGGGAGAACCAAAATCAAACTCTTGACCAGTTTGTTTGAGCCCTAGGCTCCAGGACCGTCAAGTCACATCAAATGCCTCCCTACATTAGCTTGCATCACTCATCATCACTGTTTCCTTTCCCCCAAATACGGTCTTCTTATGTCTTCTTCAACATGTTTAAACATCGCGACGAGAGTCCTGAAATAGAGCTTCAGTCCGTTTCCCCGCTGGTTTCTCCAGTGCGACAATACCACAGCCAATCGCCAGCACAGTCAGTCCGCAGGTCGCCAATCGGGAAGCATCTTCTGACAAAGTGTTAGCGCCAGCAGACTCTCGTGTCAGCCATTTCTCTCGAAATTCCTCCAGCAATTGATCTGCCGTCGCCTCGGCGTTCAACTGTGTCAAGGCCTCGGCGATGGAACCTATGTGACACCCACTGGGCACTAGATCTTGCTTGGACATCTGCAGGAGCAACGCGACGGCGACGGCCCAGCGACTTCGACGCGAGCAAGCGGTGATGACAGCTCCAAAACTCTTGGGCCCTTGCTGGAGAGTCAGCTGTCTCATGTCTTTGAACAAGCTGAGGGCTCTTTCCCAGTCTCCTTCGCAGGCGCTGATAGCAGAAGTGAAGCACTGTGGGGTGAGCATGCGGCTCCTTATGGATTCGTCAAGTAGAAGGATAGCAAGTTGCCACTGGCCTCCCATATCACACGCAGAGATTGTCGCGGCCAAGCTGATGTGGTCGACACCCAAACGAGCACGGTCGCCCAAGTTCTGCAGTAGTTCCACGGCTCTTTGCCACTCATGGCTTCGACCACACGCCGTGATGGCCGTGTTGAATGACCTTCGGTCCGGCTCGTGGTGCAGGAGCTCCATGTCATCAAGAATCGACAGGGAGGATCTCCACATTCCAGCCTCTCCGCATGCAAAACTGGCAGCGTTGCACGTCACAGCAGAACACTGCCCGGCTTCAATCGCCATGTTGAGTATTTCTAGGGCCTGTTGCCACCCACTCGTGCTCCCGCATGTACTGACGAGTGTGTTGTAGGTCACCTCAGCTGGTGTGTGACTCCTCTGCTCTAGGTTCTGCCACAAATCGAGTGCTGTCTCCCAACGTGCCTGGCCAGCACAGGCCTTCATGGCAGCAGTGAAGCTGAAAAGCTCGGTTTCTACTCCAAGTGTGTCCATGGAATGAAGGATGGCAAGTGCTGCTTGCCATTCGCTGGCCTTGCCACAAGCGCTGATGGCCGCACTGCAAGTACGCGGGTTGCATGCCATACTGCGTTGGGTCATGTCACAAATCAAAGCTGCAGCAGCTTGCCATAGGCCTCCTGCTTTGCAAACATTGATCGCTGAATTGTAGACCACAACATCTATCTGTCCGGACATCTGCATCATTGAAAATAATGTCCACAATGCCAATTGCCACCCACCAGGGTGGTTGCACGCAGTGATTGCGATGCTGGTATGAAAGGGAGTCACTGGCACACGCTGTTCATGAAGAAGCTTGATTGCTTGCGACGCAGGGCGACCCAGTTTCTCTTGGGCCATCCAACGGAAGAATGGCAACGAGCTCCTCCAATTCGCCTTCCACTCCTGAAGATGCCCCTTCAGCAACTCAAATAATTCGGCATCTGACAGTTCAGCATTATTCAGCAAAGCTTGCTGCAGATTGGATGCCATTTCCATGATGAAGGAAACACAGAACGAGCAGTTCAATCAAGGGTCCGATATTGGACAACCTTCAAGTCTGCGGACCACTTGGTGGAGAGACAAGCTGCGCCTTGCACATCTTGTGGCTGCTAGTTATCGCGCACTAAAGCCGTGCTAAGCTTGTGATGGCGGGGCATCGCCTTCCGGGTGAAATCACTTTGTAAACCCATCGGATGAACAACGAACTTCGAACCTCACGACTCGAATCTAGAGACTGTGAACCCCCCGGTGACTGTGGACTCTTGTGCAACTCGTGGGCACACCATCTTCTCGGTCCATGGCTTGCGGTCACCAAGTAGGCCGGGGAGTAGATTTTGCTGGGTGAACATGGGTGAACATGGGTGAACGGTGAACAGAATGTTGACAATGTCACCAACCACTCCATACGACACCCATGGCACCCCACAGCCCATGTCATCTTGGCCTGGTTCTCGGCGGTCATCCCTCGCGCAACTGCATCCTGGATCAAGCCTTCCTCAGCAAAAGGGATTCAAACAGCACCGAAAGAATCTCCCTTCAAACTTCAGATTATGTTCGTTTTCGTTTTTCACTTTCATGCTTTTTCGCTATATTGTTTCTTGTCTGCATGAATCATCAGCACCCGTACAGTATCATGGAGCCTTGTTCTGAAACCACATCAAACCATTTCAGCAAAGAATTCAATAAACCAAAGGGCCATTTCACTCCTCTCTCGTGCTGACTGCGCAAGCCGCTTCTCCAGCTCCTCTATTCTGTCCTGAACTACATCTGAATGAAGGGCAGGCTCGGGATCCCTCTTTTACATAAACATAACATCTCAAAGCTCTATATACTGACTGGCTTCACTTGTGATGCGGACCTCATGCACTTTCACAAATCAGGAACCCGCATTTGCAACCCGCGGTGCTGTATCATTGTATCCTCTGTGGTTTGCATCTCATGTTTTCACATGATTCTGGCATCTCGACTAGGTCCTGACCGTCGCGAAGCTCCACTTCTACATTCCGTACACCTGCAGGCCGATGAACAATTCACTCCAGCAAATGAGAAACTTGTTGGTACCTGCTGACTACTCAAACGTTGGAGGGTATTCAAAGGTTTTCAGAATACCACCCTCCCCGAAACAAAGATAGCAACATATAGCAACCCACAAGTGCGCGCAAATACGATCTATTCTTTGAACTATTTCTCGTACCGGAATCGGGCAAAGGCCCTGTGATGACGCTAAGCAGCTGTTCTGTTGCTCTGTCTTCAGCTGATGGATGGTGTCCCTGAGTCTTTCCACCTGGCTGGATGTTCAGTTGAATCAACAAGAGATGACTCAATAGTTAGTCCAAAGTCAGTGAGGCAGTCAAATGTCCTTAAGCTGCTGTCAAACTGCAAGGGTCTAACAGACTCTACACCGTTCTATGTTATCACTTGTGTGTCTGCCTGCAATTTATCGCTGGAATGTAGAAACGTGTTGCATCCGTTGGGATCCACTGCCTGACAGTAACAAATCCAAACAGGTCCCTTTTTCTCAGCAACTCTCACCAAAAGCACTGGAACTGTACACTGGCAAGGATGTGAGTGCGCTGAAGAAAAGCAGAGTGAAGTGAATTTTCGATGACCTCTTCCCATTGAAGCCCTCCATGGACTTTGCCCTTTACTGTACGTCGGGTGAAAGCCCTCAATCTCTGCTCAGTCCAGCTCTGGAAGCTCAGTGTGGACTGACGAGGCGCGGCACCACAGGATGAGATTCGTGCGTTCGCCCTGCTGGAGACGATCGGCACCATGAATGTGCTGGCCTAAATGGAGCACCGCCGTACCCACCCGATGCGGATGACGTGCTCGGCAGTGAGGGCAGGGGTCTGGATGTGGCCAGGACATTGGGTCGTGCTCACCGGAGAGACCATGGAAGTACACATCTCCTACAAATTCAAGCTGTTCTTTACGCAGTTGTCTAAGAAGAATGGAAGAGTTATGGGTGAGCGACCCCACTGTTTCGGAATCACTGTCACTGCACAATCTGTCTCATCTCTGCCAACAGCGTTCATGAAGCAAGAAGCCAACTCCCCGCCTCCTTTGAAAGAGCCTCCAATGCAAATATTCAGCGTCACATCGCTGGAATCGACATGTGTATCAAGCAGTCGGTCTTCACCTTCCCGGTATCGCACTGTGAAGGCATGGACATTGGAGAGATCACCTCAGCGACGCAAAGCCTCCATCAAACGCAAACAGTTCTTGACACTAAACTTCACTCAACGGCCGTCCTCTTTGATTTGGGCAAGCGGCCGAATTTCCCAGGCCACAGCTCTGAGGCCATGGGCACCACCAAACCCATCACCAGACTATGTGCCACTGTCGCAAGACCCACATCTCCCAGAACGAGTCCGTAGCCTAACACCGCAAGTTGAAGCTTAAAGTACACAAGGTGGATGAGCTTACATGCATACAAACCATCTGCAATTATGGACGTCTATGTATATATAATTAGCAATATATGTGTGCGTCAGTGTACAACAATAAATCTGAATGACTATGTTTGCTGGCCGGTTGAACTGGACCACACCATTTGGCCCTTCTGGTCCGAGCAACGGTTCATGGAATTTGGGCGGCTCAACTCCCACTCGGACTCCGATGCCCACTCTTCGATGGCCTCTAGCTCTTTCAGCAGTTGTTGGCTTAGTGAGGTGTCATCATCTGGGAAGCACTGGAATGCAAAAACTCCGGGAGTAATCTCCTCACAAAGCTTCTTGAAGGCATCCTTACGGTGAGTCACCTCCTTTGAAAACACTGCTGCTAAGTCTGGGTTCAGCCTCATGCGTAGGTCCTGACTCTGCAAAGTATACAACTGAGGCCACTGAGTCTGAAACCCATGATCTGCAGGAAGGCCGTTCAACGCCTTCTCTTTGGCTTCCTTTCTCTTAATCTCGGCTTCCGCCATATCCAGTCTTTTTCTCCGCTTTTGGGCATCGGCCAATGCTTCCAGTCGCAGCTCCTCCTGTGACGGCAGCTGGTCGACGCCAAGCAGCTGGGCCACAGCCCGTCGACCGGTAGAGAGCACCGCAGCCCGGGCACCTTCCCGCAGGGCCACGTCAACTGGCCGTGCACCGTCGTGGTCGACCGACTCCGCCAGTGCCGGGCAAGCGCTGAAGAGGACCTTGGGAAGCCAAGACCATCTGAAATAGCATTCCTATTCTTGTTTCTACTAGCTTCTTGTTACTACTAGTAAGGCACTTGTTACTAGTAGCGATGCACTTGTTCCTAGTAGCTTATTGTTATATACAAAAACCTAGTTCTCGTTCACCTTCACTTGCATCAAGTAGAATCTTGATTAAAACTCCCCCATTGGGATGCACGGACTTGCGGGCACGCTCCCACACCTCCCCTTGCTCACAGGTGGAGCGGGTAAAGGTGGTCATGTGAAACGGTCATGAAGCACGAAAAAAGAAAACATATGCTGCCATATGTACACTACGACGAAAGGGCATGGATGCACAGGCGGACTAGGCATGGCGGCATGATATGACATGTTTCGAGTTTGAATTAAGTTCAACTCTCTTGAAGAGTTCCGAAGCAAAATCTGCACCAAATTTGGAGGTCTGAACTTATCTAATTTGTATCCGGGTGTGAGAAGGTATCAAGAGATTCTTGGTTCTCAATGCATTACGGACCTCTTCACGTGGGAAGGTTTTAGTATATAATCACAACTCTACACTACTTGGACTTCTTGCTTGAAGCACACGGCACACGTGCTTTAACTGCCAACTAAAAACCACGGATATGGTAGTGAAAATGTCAGCAAACTAAAAATACAATCTATATCAATCTATACACTCCCGAAAACTAACATGGAACCTGAAAATGGACCTTTGGAAGACGATTTTCCTCTACAACCCAGTGGTTTTCAGGTTCCATGTTAATCTTCGCGAGCGTAATAATTAATACCTACTCTGCACTATTTCAAGTCTGACTCACAGCCCCTGACCTCTGCAGCCTCAAAATTGCCATTTTCAGCCGCCAGGTGCAAAGCATTGCGACCGCCTGCCATATCGATAACCAAACCCCCACTCATCAATCTCGCGCGTGTGTCGCGAGTGGTGCTGTACAGGTTGGCCCTGGCTGTGATAAGCATCTTAAGAATATGAGGATCTCCCTCGACAGCAGCATAGTGCAAAGGCGTATGGCCATCTTTATCTTGATCTTCCAAAGCACAATGATCCTCCAGCAGCTGTTTGGTGCAATCTATGGCTCCGTACATGGCTGCCACATGTAGTGCTGAGCCAAGACTTTCCAGCAAATAGGACGGAATGCGCTGCAGAACAATGCTCATCTGCACTGCATCATCGTTGGCAACTGCACTAAGCAGCTCCTGCTTGTCAGTGCTCGATTCTTCTGCAGTTGCCATGAAGGCGTGCACAAATCGACACAAACGAATTGAAGATTCGATCTCACTGCAGTCCACAAAAAGACATATATATATATATATAGTCAATTGCTCAGACTGTTCCTGCGATTTCTGCCGGGCTCAGTATAGAATCTAGATACGATTTCCAGCCAATGCATCTGAATCTAGTCAATCAAAAATGTCATTCAGGACATCAGGACTGCGTACTTCAATACTCTCGTTGAACCCAAAAGCTCTTTAGGCCACAACCAAAGTCAAGCAAACATGCCCAGCTCACCAATTTTCAAACGCATGCAATCACCTTGCCTCTATTTTGGTTGACTCTTATTACATGCATGGCCACTTGAAGTTGTTTCCCCACCTCATCTTCCAGGACTTGTTCTCTGACTTGCATCGCCTGCATAGCCCGATCCTGACGAGGAAATAGCTGTACCGTGCAGACTGTGCACGTTCCCCATGAGGCATCAGGATGCCGCAAAAGTCAGGAGATTGATGTTAAACATTTTTCAACATCCCCATTTCAAGGCACTGCGAATCCCAGCTGTTCCCCCCCAGCTGCCTCATTCTGCGCGGACTCCTTTCGGAGCTCCTCACACTGGACTGACATGGTGTCGAGCTGTGCCTGGCATGGTCTTGTGGGACCACAAGTGTTAGTGTTTAGTGTGGCTTTTCAAGCATTCAGATTCCCACTATATTGTATTAGTTTGACGCCCTGGGCAAAACAATGTATATAAGATGTCATGTACGCAAAGCGACTACAAGCAGCCATGTCAATGTCCCGGCTTTGCATTGAAAAGTGCGCACGCATCGTGTCCAGTCTAGGCCGTGGCCATCATTTCTGTCACCCAGTGCGCGCACCAAAGCTCAAAAATACAAATTCACTGCAAAACATCTGCCCATCCTGGAGCTGCCGGCATCGTTTGCGGGCCTCCTGGCCAAGACAAGGTGGGTGTGCGGTGAAAGTATTGAGTGATACTAGTATCTATAGTATCTATAGGAATCTCTTTGATTAATTACTTGAGGCCTGGAAAGATCTGGAAAGCCAATCACAACGGAACCAGCAAACATCCCTCCAAACAAATCTGGAAAAAAACAGCAACTCATCGCCCCTTGTGGAAATCAGGCCCCCCGTGTGAAGAAAACGTCACACCCTTCAGCTCTGCACCTCTCCATCTTTGCGCGCAGCATTTAACTGCTCGGTGAGTCGCTGAAGACGTTGCTCCGGCAGGGCTTGGGTTAAGCTGCCGTCTGCCTCATGTGACGTCTCATGACATCGAGCTGCACGTGACGTGGCCTTTCCTAGACTTATAACTTATAACATCGACTTGAAGTGGAAGTGGATCCAGTCTGGGCACCTTCTCAGCCGCGAAATGCCGAAGCTCTTGACACTCAGCCTTGCAATCCTCAAGCTCTCCTTGCTTGCACACTGGCCGGCAAGCTTTGGCGTGAACCATGTGAGAAGACGATATTCTACACTTCTACTCTTTCCGACTCATTTATTTGCGTCTGGCCCAATTCTGCCACGCTGTGGACTTATTCCAGTTGTTCCGAAAGCTTTATCGAAACTTAGGCACTTGGTCGCAAGCGAGATAATTCAACCATATTCAAACGAAATACAGGAAAGGCAAACAATAGGCAAATCACATCCCTGTAGCAAATGAGCCAGGGATGAATCACAATTGGTCAATCAACAAATATGGGGACAGGGCTTACGAATTGAGCCTCAATGAAGAATCATCCATTTTGAAGTGACTTAACCACCGAGCCAAGGGTCTTTCCAACGAGCGCGCCTCGTCACGTGCAGCATAAAGCTCTGCACGGAGTCTTGCCTTCACCAGAACAACAAGTGGACAAACAAAGGGGTAACACATGGTGAAAGCACTGGGTCTATATATAATTACAATATTTATCTATATCTATCTGACATAAACAAGTTTGCTTATATATGCTTATATACCTTTGTGTGACCCTCTCTCACTACAAGGTTTGAGTCCGACAATCCCCAAGCCTGGAGTGGATTTTTGGCTAGACCCTCTTTGGCCCATAATCGAATGACATGTGCGGAGGACAACTGGCTCAAAGATTTGACTTCCACTAGCCAAACAAACGGGAATGAATGGAGCTTCGTTTCTCCTTCATCGCAAGCCCGCAACCCTTGGGCTACACTCAGCACCCCCCTCACCCAATCCCTGCTTTCGTGCATGTTTTCAATAAGCATCCGATGCATATTTTGTGACATGCTGGTTCACATGATCTATAAAATGATCCAACTTGGCGTGGTTGCTGTGCATGAACAAACGCCTTGATTTTCCTAATGGCATCCAAAGGCCAAGCCAACCTTTAGTCTTCATGAGATGACTGAACCAACCTTTGGCGGTCTTTCACAGCGATATCTCTTTTACTTAATCGTGAATCTCTGCAAAGGTTGGATTGAGAACCCTGTCAGTCTATACTCAACATCATCATCATCTTGGGGAACTCACCGAGTCCAAGCATGGTGCTGAATGAAGGTCAACCTGTCCGAAGAACACCGCGAACACTCGTGTGTCTGCATTGCCTGCACTGTCAGTGTTGTGTTTTATAGACTGGCCCCCATCCTGGCCCAGGTATGGTGACAATCCAACAAGTATGCTCAAATAATCTCAAATAATACCCAACAATGTCACCGGCTGGGTGATTTTTGGAACAACGATTCTGTGGAGCCACGTCGACGTGGGCGTGTGGGCGTGGGCCAATTCCTGGCAAATCTTTCATACCATAACGCCAAAAGCAGCCTAGGGCCCTGGGGCCTTGCAAGAAACCAAACATAATACAAAATGCATACCTTACTGTATGCAAACGCATAAACATACATAAACCATCGCCAGGCCACTTCTCCCATCAACTCTGGCAGGTCTGGTGATGGCAAGGACGTGGTGTCCTACATGCCGGCTTGCAGTGGGTGTCAGGTTGAATAACTACCGAGCATCCGAGCAGGACCTGCGGCCTGCGGTCCAAAATTGTGCTGCTGAAGCTACTAGTAACAAAGGGCATCGCTACTAGGAACAAGTGCATCGCTATTAGTAGCAAGAAGCTACTAGTAACAAGAAGCTTCTACGTTGGAAGCCATCGCTAGTAGGGAGGCCATTACTACTACTGTAGTAGCTGGAATCTGTCCTTATCGTCTACCACGATAAATGGCGAAGGAAAATCAGCATCGGAACGAACATCTTCATCGAAGGATGCCAGCCCAGATTCCTTACCGCAAACCGTTCTTGCAAATTGTTGCCACTGCACACGAGAAAATCATGTATGCCCAGCATGCAACATCGTGGCACCCTCAACAGCACAAGAACCACCAACAACGTCCCAAGTCGAAACAGTTTCTGTCGCCCTCACAGTCTCAGCTCTAAGCGTCCGCAGTGTCAGACTCCTTTGGAAATACCACTGCAGCTGTAGGAATTGATGAATCAGCTCTGGGGGCTTCAGAGAAAAACCTAAGCTGGCACCGAATCAAAGCGTTGATATCATGCAACTCTGGACTCAGCGGTTTTCTCCCCTGAATAGGGTAGTGCCCCCTCAAACAGCACAGAACCATCGGCTTTCCTTTCTGTTCTTTCATGACCTTCACATTCCTTGTCAGAAAACTAGTATATTACGCCGTACTGTATGCATAATATATGTATATACATGTCAATGTATGCATGTAATACATGTTTCCTTTCATTTCCTTCTCCTTTGCAGGTCATTTCACTCATGTCCTTTTCATCAACCACAACTACAACTCACCAAATCTGTGATGTCGTGTGATGTCCAAGAACTGCTAGGTCTCACTAAGAATAATTTGCTCATAAATATGTTACAAGGATGGCATTTGAGAAGATCACAAAGGGTACCTATCCCTACGAGCCCCGTTCTCCCCCGCTCTATTTCAAGATACCCACGTCGTTCCTCGGCTGTCCTCACTTAGTTTCTCCAAATCTCTGGATTAGATTGGCATCAAGTCACGGGATTCTCCCAGATGCAAAGGATTCCGCTCTGTTGGGGCCTATATACTTCTCCCAAAACCTTCTGGACCTTCTGGTGGGGGGTCATTAATACGAGGTCAGCATCATTCCTGACATCAGCTCTGAAGCGTCAGTCTTCCTGGTCGAATCATCTCATCAAGCCTAAGCCGTGCATCAAATAAGGATAAATAATGATGCATGTGGCAATGTTGGGTGAACAGTTTTGATGCAACGCCGCATCTTAGGACTGGGCCATCTTTTCACCGATTCATCCTTGGGATTTTCTGGGACAACATAGCCTGCAGGCATCTGCAGCACGCGCATCACGCGTCTCTGCTTTGCTCCATGTGATCCGCAACAAGGCGGACCACACGTGAAACATGGCGAGCAGCGGTGAGAGAGGGCCAATAAACACCAAAGCAACCTTTTCATCCTGCTGCGCCCAAAATGATGGATGCTGAATTCACAGGAGCAAGTTTTGCCCACCTGCAATGGACACAAGCTTATCTCCTGACATGTGCCACAAGCACTCAGGTCAAGCTTCTGTAATATCTGTTCAAGGCTTGACTGTTGCTCAACCCTCAAAATGCAGAAACTTGCATGAGTTACCATCTGTATACAACCGCTTTCCTGGACAATCTTCCATACCTCGACAGTGCTGCTCCTGACTGTACCCCCAGCTGCTGAGCTTGGCCATCTGGATCAACCGCTGCAACGTAAACCCCTCACCAGCCATTTCAGTGAGACTGAATCAACAAACAAACAATGAAAAACTGACAGTTTGCATCCCCGTTCTATCAAGTCTCCATTCAGCTCGAAGCCCAGCGGCCCCTCTCCTCAGCAACCACCGAAAGAATGGGAAATGGGTAAATTCGGCCAAGCTGCGGCAGGTGTCTACAAATCTCAACTCCCATTCAACTTCAACTGAGTCACGAAAGCTCAGCTCTCTCTTGCCCTTGTGTGCAGCATCATCTGCAAGCAGAATGGCCTGCTTCTGGATGTCCTCTCCTGGGTCTGATATGATCACCGGCTCTGTCCGCCAAAGCCATGAGGCGAATGTTGGAAACAAAACCCTCATAGATCTTTGATTGTGAACCGCAATGGTACAATAGAACAACTTACAAAAACGATTTGTATGTGCAGCCGTCAAGGCTCCTTAACTCTAGATGGAGAGGCACCATTGTTGTGTATATATATATATAGTATAAACATGTTTTATATATCCAAACAAGAGTGTGCGCACAGGGCATCGCTTTTGGGAAGCAACCATCGTTTCCCTCGTATAGGGCTCAAGGCGGGTCTTCTCTTGTTCATACCATGTTTTACGTTGCTCATATCGGTACGGTCAAAACTCATTATAATGTGGCTACTGCATCGTCACCGTTTCCCAATGCTTTGGCACTACGTCATTGCAGGGTATCCTTTTTTGTGAGTCCCCCATCGTTTGCCAGGGCTTGGAGCATTCAAGCCGCATACTGTCATCGCACAGTTTGAAGGCACTTCATAGGGGCTCCTAGGAGCAAGGACGCTACTAGGGGCTCCTGGCATCGCTACGAACGGAGCAAGGACGCTACGGTGACATGCCTGCATGATGCGAACAAGTCGCCAAGCTTGGCAGCTTGTTCCCTCGCGGCTTTGATCCACGAGTCCATTGGACTTTCGTGCTAAAAAGCGCCTCTTGATGGCTGACCGCCAGCTGCAAGTACTGCTTGCTAGGCTTGCCAAGAATAGACTTACCGTACTCCTCACTTCTTGAGCATTGCAATGTATTGCAATAATTTGCGTTTCTTTGGAGACTCAAAGTTGAAGCTTCCAAAGCTCTAGCAATCTTGCATGAACAACATCTTTTGTTCCAGCATCATGCGACTGGTAAGCAGTGTGGAGCGTATGCTCATGTAGCCCTGTTGAGCCACTCAGGAATACGGCGACAACTGTATGGGACTGTACTGGAACTTCAGCTTGACCTCTCCATGAGTAACTAACATGCTAATATACACTATGTCACAACATTTAACTGTTCAATGTTGCCCATGCACGGAACAAAGTCCCCGGCACGACTGATCCATCTTCCCGCAACGCAGCGAACGCAGATCCGGAGGAGCAAAGGTCTAATACGCCACGCTCGAGCTGGACCTGTCAAATCTGCCGAGTCCTAGGGTCAAGACCTTTCTGTTTACTCCATTGTGGCTCACATTCTACAGTACATGTGGAAATGAATCCAGCACTGGTAGCAAACATCATAGCGCTCTTTTCTTGAGCCATCGCGAGAGCGAAAGTCGGGTTTCAGTCTCCATCAAGCTGGTCAGGTCCATGAGCAATCCGGGTCAGTGCATGACATGTTCCTGGTTTCACCTTCGTTTTCACATTCGTCTTTCTTCTGACCTCGATCGCTCTTGGACCCTTGCAGCTCGATCTTCAAGGAAAGGCCGTTCATGGCCGCTCGGACGTCGCTTGCGTCCATGTGCTTCGTGAGGGCGTCGGCCAGCATCGTCTTCGTGCTGATCCACAGCACTCGGGTGCTGCCGTCTTGCGGCGGCTGGTCGCTGAACAGCGGGTCGCCCACTTCCTCATGGCGTCGACGCCAGATCATCTGGCGCATCCCGCAAAGGTCGATTGCGAGCCTCTTGTCGTTCACTTCTCCGAGCCCTTGTTGCGTCAAGTGGTCGGACAGACTGCGACAGTCTGTCAGCTTGATCAGATCTGTGCTGTCCTGGGCTCTCATCCTCCAGTTGGGATCGCCTTGATCGTGGCCATGATGTAGCCCATCCAGGATCATCCTCAGGTGTTCCCCGTCCTCATAGCCAGCCAGCATGCTCAGGCTCTCAGCCTGAAGTGTGCTTCGACACACCCGTCGAATCACGGAGCTCTTCCATTCCAAGATGTGGATCGGGCCTCCACTCTTGTCGATGAAGTCTGGCCCACAGAAGGCCAGAATCCTCCCAGATTGGGAGCGAAAGCCAAGGCGCTGTCCAGTCGACGAGAGGTCATAGTCGTTGGCGTGGCTCGCGTCGGTGATGGAGAGGATCTTGAGCTCTTCAAACTTGAAGGGGCGCCACACGTAGGTCAGCCGCTGATCCTTGCTGAGCATCGCCCTCCTGAGCAGTGAGTTGCAGTCCACCAAATCTTGGACACAGGGCTTCTGGACACAGCTTTGTAGTCGGCTGGTGTCGTAGGCCAGATCAGGCCGGTTGACACGCACAATCCAGTTCAAGGAGCCAAGAACACTCCTCATCTGAGATTGCTCCTTGTGAGTGGCTTCTCCTCCTCGGTTGGCTTTCCTGGCTGTTGACAGGGCAATTGGTGTAGTCCTTTCAAGACCATGCGGGCATGTGACATGGATGCCCTCATCGTCCTGTGAAATCATTCTGCCACAGAACTTGGAGGTGGTGTCGGCGGTACGGCCAAACTTCAGCTTCTTCTGGACGTTGTCCATGGCCTGCTGGGTGAGGTCTCCTCCACACCAGAGTAGGTCGTCCACATGACTGATCACCAGTCCGTCCACAGAGCCGTCCGGCTTGTTCATCACATAGGCGGCATTTTCATGTGGAATGGGACGTAGTCCAAACTCCTTCATGGTGTTGTGGAGGCTCTTCCAAAATCCTCGTGGAGCATCCTTGGTGCCATAGACAGGCTTCCGTGCCACAAGCAGTGATCCGGGCGCCACTCCTGGTACACCATCTTTTGGTAGGCTCATGATGAGCATTCTGGAAAGTCCAAGCCCTTGTAGGAACGTCGCAGTGATGTCTCCACTGTGTAGGCGTAGACCATTGCAGCTGGCGAAGGACAGAACCATGCTCAGCATCAAGTGAGATGCCGTGGGTGAGTCAGTGCGAACTCCTCCTTGGTGTGCCTGGTTTTCAAGATCTCCGCGGACAACCAGGCGGCTTTTCAGTTGTTCTTCTTCTCCTTCATCCGCCTTGTTGACATCTACCCATCTCATGGGTACCACTTGTGCTCGAGGATGCTTCTTGCAGAAACGATCAGCATCTTGAGGTGGGATCACCTCACAAGCATCGAAGTTGGTCCAGTTGGTCCATTCCTTGTGCCTGGTTTGATCAAGCTTCGCCTGCATCTCTGGTGAGGCCTTGGAGTAGTTGATCTCCTTGCTGCCGGCACTCTTCTTCTTGTAATTGGTGCGCCGGGCCAAGAATCCTCGCAGGCAGGTCGCCTGTATCTTTTGGCGGCGGTTCTGCGTAGCATAGAAGGTTCTCGGCGGTGTCCTTGACCGTTGTCTCGAAGATGAACTGGATGTAGGATGTCCATCAAGTCCTTCCAGTGATCTCCACATAGATCGCTGCAGTGGTGTAGGCGTAGACGTGGTGGTTGGTGTGCCTTCGGTTGTTGCTCTTGTTCGTTTGGAATCCGGTTCGATGTCTGGCTCCTCCACGGATGAATGTCGTGGTAGGTCTCCAAGTTCATTCATGGCCTCTTGGAATTCATCGAACTCGACCTCTTGGTCATCATCAGGTACTAGTCCTGGAGGTTCTTCTGGACCTTCGGCTGGTACAGGAGCAGCAGCCACCTCTTCCAGAGTGAGTGGATCTGCCGGTAGTCCAGGTGGTGGTTCAGGATGTTCATCTCCAGGTGGTGTTGATGTTGCCACCGCGGGTGCTGAAGACATTCCTTGTTCAGGTTCTTCTCCTGGTTCTGGTGCTCCTGGAGCTGGGTGATCTTGATGTCCAACATGATCTCCTCCGGGGCGTCCAACATCCAGGTAGGAGTCCTGATGCTCCTCGTCAGATTGATTTGCCATCAGGTCATCGGCAAAGGGGACTTCATCTTCATGGTCCTGTAGGATCTGCCGCTTCCTCTTGCGTGATGGTCGAAGTTCCAGGAGTTGTTTGGCCACAACTTCTCCTTGTAGAGCTGGTCGACATGATTCCTCACTGATGGTGATGGGAACTCCACCATGGATCAACCAAAGGTTGCTGCGGCCTTCTCGTCCAATGACCCGTGCTGGTCCATACCAGCGTCCAACTCTAAAGAAGCATACCAGATCTCCTGGTACATAGGGTCCACGAAGTGGCGTAGATCTCCGCAGCAATGAAGTCCTGATGCGGCGGCTGCTGTCGGCATACTCAAAAGCTTCCTTGGCAGCCTGTCGGATGTTCAGCTGTTGTGCGAATTCGGTTTCTCCCGTGACCATTTCTTCATGAACTCCAAGACGGTTGGGTGCTTGCTCAACTGTCAGACTGGTCACGTCATCTGGCAGCTTGCCCATGACCCATTGAGTTGGGCTGAAACCGGCATGGTTCACGCGACAGTTCTTCACGAAGGTGGATTCCATCACAGCCATTCGCATCCCTGAG